TTTTTTTTTTGTCAGATTTTTTTTGTCAACCCAATTTATTCTGTAATGATCTGGCGTTCTCCAGCTTATGAACTAATGTATTATTATTTATTAAAATATAAGAATGTAGTACTTCGTTGCCCCAAACTGTCAAGCTCTATCATGAATTTAACAAAATTCATAAAATTAAAGTACAATACGTGACATTTATGTAGCGATGCTTAAGCCTTCTCAAACATTGGGGAAAGGAATGAACAAATATGTTGCATTCCATACAACTCGTTGAAAGTTATATAACCCAAGTCGGGTCGCTCTCAGAAATAAGTAATTGTAAAGTAATTACATTACTTTTAAAAGTAATTTGTAATTGTAATTATTTACATTTCACATAGTAGTAATTGTAATTGTAGTTAAACTACTTTTGAAGCGAAGTAATTGCAATTGTAATAAGTTACATTTTGGCAGTAATTTTCCCATGAATGGTTTATTGTAATAACTCTATGGGGAAAATATTGGTTAACCTGGGTTAACCTTTGCACAATAAAGTGAGTCACGTATGGTCAGAGGCACGAAAGGTTCCTGACGAAAATTGGTCTTGACCCTCTAGATGAAGGTCAATATTTTTTTTAATTATAACAAAATAATTTGGCTGTAATCATATCGCGAACCCAAGAATACACCCAAAAATGTATTTCAATAGAAAAATACAAACTACAGTTAAAAAATTGTATCGCGATACAGAAATAAAAAATACATAATATATCTCTAAATTACTATCGCGATGCATTTGTTTCGCGATACTGCCTAACCCTGCAGAGCAGTTGGGCTAAGTAGTAGTATAATAAATAAATAAATCGGTAAAAACTCCTAGATTAGTAGCTCTGCGTGGAGCTATTTTTACTACGGTTTAATAATAATAATAATAATAATAATAATAATGTATTATTCCGTGCCTCAAAACAAACAGAAGTCAGGCACATACATAAATAGAACGTGAAAAAGCACAGCTAGGAAAACAGCAAATTTTTAAGCTCGTGTTTTTAAACACATTTTCTTTTGATAACCAGGATAAAACAAACAGGAGTGTCTGGTAAAACGCAGAGGCACGTGAAATCCAACAGAACAAAGCGATTAAGCTGGCCTTGAATTATTCTATCATCTACGCAACAGCAAGCCTCCGGTAAGTTGAGGGGGGTCCCTACAAGAAGGTGTGTGTTTGTGTGGGTGAGGGGGGGGGGGGGGGGGGGTTCTGACGAGATGTATTAGATGTGCATAATATAAACCCCACTGCTGACTCTACCCATGCTGTACCTGCAACCCTCAAATTGCTAATCCTCAAATGTTAGATCCCTGAAAACAAGCTATTTTATTGCAAAATATGATTTTGTTTTCACTAATGCTGAGACTGTGGAAAAGGGTCTCGGGCAGGGTGTAAGATAGACAGGTGGCGAAACGAGAGCCAAATGAGCGACCGGATTGTGTCCCCTTTGGGTTTCTCTTTTTCTGTGGCGCCATCTATGTGGAGCGCCGCGAACTCTCACTCCGGTTGGGCGACCGGTGGCGACCGGCTAAACTGACGGAGATGGTTTCTCCTGGATTTTCAATAGAGGACTGTCGTGCTCTCGGTTTATTTTGCGCACTCTCCCATAAAATTCCATGCAAATCTGATTTCGATTTTTTTTCTTCTCGCCGCAGCGCCATCTGTCGTAAATCGGGGGTACCCGCAAGCAGACGAGTACACAATCCGGTCACGGCGCTGCGGTAGGCTTCTACGGGCCGTTTCCCCACCTGTCTATCTTACACCCTGGTCTCGGGCCATCCTTTAAAATCAGTGGGGGGTCCGAGACTCCCTGAGAGCCCCCAGACTTTAAGCCCTGCCGGCAACAGTAATGTGGATTCTAGAATTCGTTTGGTGGATATCGAGCGATTCATGTGCTCGCGCATGTATAGTGCGGTAGATGCGAGCACGGCGAAGGCGCGCTTGCACGCCCAAGAAGACCTGCGTTATCAATATACACGCTCTCTTTAGCTACAGACTTCTCACTAGTCTAAGACTAGAACAAATTAGGGGTACAAACTTTTTGATAAACCTTGGACAGCTCTCTGAAAATATTCACGCGTATTCTACCCGTCGTGCAGAATGTTGGGAGGTGGTCGCTGCAAGAACGAAATAGTGCACACAAATGCTCAAACATATACCATCCCAAAGATACTTAACTTACTTGAAGATGAAGGATTTGAATTCAGTGCATTGTCCCTTAGAGAAATTAGACTAATTTTCTCCACAAATGAATCTGAGTATGAACCAAACTTTTGGGGTCTTATAACTTCTGTCTGCAAAGAATCCACTTTTCTGTTAAAGCCGACGGTAAAAGATATAGTCTGAAACACGCTTTGTTAAATGGACCTTTTCCACATACCGACGGCACCAGGCGGTGACTGCACGAACTAAAAATTGAGGAAGTGAGCTACCTGCGCTACCAATCGATAATGGGAGCTGCGCTACCACTTTCTTCGCTCTCTGAGCTGCAACGCGTGCCCAACGCGACTTTAAAGAGGGGAAAGAAAAACACGACCCAAACGTCGTGTTTTTCTTTCCGTCCACTTTCTTTTTTTGTGTAACACAATTATATATATGTTGCAATTGCGTGTTCTACTCGCTGATCAACAGCCTCCTTCCGAATTTCCTCGATTTTTAGTACCGACTTCCGCCGCTTGGCATCGGGCGCTCGCGCGTGCGCAGAACGCTTCTCGGAAAAGGTAAAAAAAAAAAAAAAAAATTTTTTTTCGTTGTTGTTACTGTGTTTTGTAAGCGGTCCAGGACTTGTCAAGCTGTGCCATACAGCTTTTTTCCTTGATCGCCACCATCAACGTTCGATGGAAATAAAGTCATCATTATTATTATTATCAAGATACAAAGGAAAAAAAGGCTCTCAAAGACCGCTCTAAATCCACCAAGCGAATTCATAGAAAAACTTCTTGTGCAACCCTACACGATAACGTTTGTAGTGAGTTTCGTCTCCTTGCACAAGGAGACGAAAACACAAAAGGAACTCGCTGTTACTTATATCCACACAGTCACTATCTAAATAAAGAGTCAGCGATTCTATTTGTGCCGCGAAACACGGTAAACACGACCGCGAAAACGAAACAAGTAAAAAATCTCAACCAGCATATAAAGGAGCGACTGTACTGCAGTTAAATAGATCTGGGAAATACGTGTTCTCCGTCTGGGGGTGTAGCTCAGATGGTAGAGCGCTCGCTTAGCATGCGAGAGGTACGGGGATCGATACCCCGCACCTCCAAACATTTTTAATGTTTTTTTTTTTTTTTTTTTTATTGAATGACTTTTGTAATTTTTGTTTTTACACATGCAAACGTTTGTTCTACGTTAACGGAAGTAATTTTATTTGTTATTTATCAACGTCTGAAGTTTAGTTTCTAGGGATTCATAACGTTTAATTCACGTCAGTTCGCCATTCTTTCCGTAATTTCGCTAAAAGGGTTCGGAAACAGGATCACAGGCACGTAGCCAGGATTTTGTTTCGGGTAGGGCCCGCCCATGACAAAATGTTGTAAGAGGGGGAGGGGGAGAGGAGGCCCCAGCAAAATGGAAGATTTCGGGGGGGGGGGGGGGGGGGGGGGGGGGGGAGCCTGGGCCTAATGGGCCGCCCTCCTGGCTACCTGCCTGCATGATCAGCTCCAGTGCTGTTGGAATTCGCTTATGCTAGATTTCCACTTTCTTCCAGAAAGATTGTTTCAAGCCGGATGTGTTCTAACTTGAGAGCCTTCTTGTGGGGGAAGCTGAAGTCGAGAATCGGTACCTGTCGTTTTGTTTAGTAATTCAGTAAAGTCCGGGGAGCCAGGAATTTATTACGGGTGAGGGGGACGGGGGGGGGGGGGGGGGGGGGGGGGGGCGTCATGTTTCTACACTCAAAACTGTTCCGTGCCTACTTGCACTAATGTCTACTTGCATTAATTAAAACTACATGTCTACTTGCACTAATTAAAAAGTTACAAAATTTACTGTCCTCTTGACCGTATAACTCACCAGCACGAACCGCATAAGTGTAGCTTTCACGGCTTTTTTTTAAAACAAAACTGAAAGAATAAGTAAAAACACCATATATATATATATAGAGAGAGAGAGAGAGAGAGAGAGAGAGAGGTGAACTACACGACGCGACATAAGACCCCAGACGTCGTCCTTACACATCAGATATACTTCTGGAACCCCTGGCAAGGCCTTGGGATGCCCGCGAACTCCACCATGCGCCCGTCGCCTTCCGCCGTGCTTTGGTTCCGCGTGCACGCTCGGGGTCGCGAGACGCCGCAGCGTTATCGGAGGCACTGGAGCGCGCGCTGGAATCGGGACAACTGAAGCACTTCCCTGCCGTTCTCATCTTGTCTGTCGGTGACCATAGCACCGACATATTTCGTTGGCGCCCCCTTGTGGTTTCCATGCGTGACGTCTCGACCGGAATTTGCCCAGCCGTGACTTCGCGAGTTGGGATCCTGGCTACTTATCATCAGTTCGTAAACCGACACCGTCGTCGGAGTTGACAGATTCGCAAGTATACTCACAACGGTCTTGTGCCCACGGCTTGGTCAATCGTGGAAAACTGGGGGAGAGGAGGTGACGAGAGCGGGCGGGGACGTTTGAACGTCGAGCCCTGATTGGAACGATTAGGGGGTAGAGCTAAAGCTAGCTGCCTTTGTCTCCACTGCACTGGTCGAACGCATTCGAATGCGAAAGCCAAACGCCAGACACAGTCGTTCCGCATTCGAACGCCTAGCGCACCCTCGACCACAGGGGTCCCAGGATTTGGGGACAATCGCGTCCCCTTTCGGAGGGGGTGACGAGGGTACAGCGTCTAAGATGGCGCTGTCCCCCTCGCCACCGACGGATGCGTGCGGCTGAACAAATGAATCCAGCGGCTCACTCCGCGGCCGCTGGATTCGAGGAAAGCAAATGACCGCGTTTCCACAAGTTTCACAGCTCTACGCTTTGCAGGTCCAAGATGGCGCATGTGCTGCAGTCGCTGGCGACCGCAGCCCTGCTGCTGTTGCTACTGCTGCCGGAGTGTCCAGACGCCCAACAGGGCTTGCCCTTCAGCACGCGCAAGCTAGCCTTCTCTGCAAATCAGTTCGGTCTGGACCTGTACCGAGCTCTCAGGTAGGACTCGGGAAGTGGGGAGGCGGAATGCAGCAGTTTTCACTCTCTTATGTATTGCGTAGGTTAATGGGCACATAAAAACAAGTTTAACGGTCCTAAACGTAGGGTGAAAGACACTTCACGTCAGCTGAACAGCACTTCGTTCTAACACTTTATATACATATATATATATATTCACAAAAATATTTGGCCCTCAAGTTTGCTCTCAGGTGCCATATATATATATATATATATATATATATATATAATATATATTTAAAAAAAAAAACATGGGAAGAACGAAAGTGTGCCTTATTTTACCCTTCCGCTAGGGAGGAATGTAGCACGTGCAAGATGGCGCTAAAAATTGTACTAGTGAATATTATAGACATACAAGTCTTCATTAAACATTGCGAGTAGTCGAATCATTTTTGAAACACTGGAGAGTGAACGTCTGGGCGACCAAAGAAGGCGATGTTGGGGAAGCTTTTAGCAACCGGAAAAGGACAAGTTACCACATTTGTCGTCCTCATTCGCTCCGAGTCAAATACTCGAATGGTTGCATGTAATAAAGAGCCATAATGTCATCTGGATTCGAATTTCTAGATGGCTAACCGACACCAGATTCCTTTATTCAACTGAACAGACTGTTGTAAGCGACTCCATGGCTGATTAGCAAATGTCATGTTTTCGGCTGAACAGTCGACTCCGAGGCTCAAGCCTCATTTTCACTAAGTCATTGTATACTTCCAGGGACTCTGAGCCTCCGTCCGGCTCCGAGGGAAACGTGGCCCTGTGCCCGTTCTGCGTGAGCTCTTCGCTGGGCATGCTGCTGCTGGGCGCCCGGGGCCCCACCGCGCTGGCGCTCCGCCACGTGCTGTACCTGTGGGGCATGCAGCACCTGCACCTGGCCGTCAGGGACCTGTCCGCACACCTGGCGTTAAACCTCAGGGACGCCCACCTCCTGCTCTTCAGGTACGACGGCAGGGGCCAGGCGGACGGACACGATAATCACCAATTCAGTGTTTCCGGCGATCACACTTTTCCGTCTGACTGTGATAGACTGCGTTGCAATCGCTCGTGAGCGCTTACGAGAGAACAGACTGGCGGTATCTCCCGGGTCGTCTTGAAACGGTTCCGATCTCCGTATATATTATGCATCATTCTCACCGTGTGCTTGAAATAATTTTGACGTTATAAGACGCCACGCCATTGCTCATAGATTGTGCGTCTATTTCATCTGGCAAATACTGCGAAACCTTTGGTCTAATTATGCGGAGATCGAACGTGTGTTATCTCCTCGTAAGCGATTACAAGGGGTTGCATGATGCTGTCGATGGCACCGCAACGACGCAGTCGTCGTTTTAATGTTGTCTTACTAAACGGTATTCAAATGTTATTTTTGTATTATTTTCTTATTGTCCGTATTGAGAGTGCTGGGCCAGTTTAGTTTATTTATCGGTGTTTTTGTGTGTATGTTTATTTTTCATTGCCTCGTTTTGTTATGTTTTATTTTACCCCACACTGCGTAGCTGTAGGCGGTCGGCGATTCAATCAATAAATGTCTTTCTGCAGGAGCCTGTACGTGCAGCGTGATTTTGGCGTCAAGTACCCGTTCCAGCGGTCGCTGTACCACTTCTACAACGCGTCGGTGCACTCGCTTGACTTCGCGTCGAACGCTGAGGAGGCCCGGCAGCACATCAACGCCGTCGTGGAGAAACAGAGCCAGTCGCAGCTGGCCAACATCCTGCCGGACACGCCGCCGCCCTGGACGCAGCTCCTGCTGCTCAGCGGCCTCAACCTCGACACCCACATCGAGCTGGACCTCGTGCCAGCCGAAGGGGTCCGCTGGAGGGCGCGCGCCGAGCCCGCCGACGACAGCGCCGCTCTGGCGGCGTCTGCGGAAGGTGCGCCAACCAGTGCGGGAGTCTCGAAAGCCATGCGTGATGAATGGCAAATGATGTCGTGTCTAGTGTGTGTCCTCGTGACGTAGAAAACCTTGCGCTGACGGCCTTGTTATACAGGAGGTGTAGAGTAGTTTCGATTAAAGCACTGTAAACGTGTTTAGGGGTTAAAAGCGCTAAAAACGACGGACGAGTAGGAGAGACACACACCACAGAGCGCTTCTGGTGTGTGTCTCTCCTATTCGTCCGTCGTTTTTAGCGCTCTGTGGTGTGTGTCTCTCCTATTCGTCCGTCGTTTTTAGCGCTTTTAACCCCTAAACATGTTCAACCAACTAGCCCAAATCCAAACCCTTCTGCACTGTAAACGGGGGAGGAACGCGACTCCTCCTCTCCGAACCTCTCCCTTCTTAGGTGCACGAGGCTATTTATGAGCGAAGGCATCGACTATAGGTTGTTTCCACATGACGTCAATCCGCCATTTTGTTGTTAGTTTGTTTTTTCAAACAAATTTACTACATTGAAAGATTACATCGTAACCGGTCGAAATGATGTCAGCGGTGCTCTACGCATTTGAGAAGGCATGCAAATCCTTGAAATGCTCGAGTTTGGCACACGCCAGACAGATTGCAACAACAAAACGGTGGACGAAATTACGTCAGTGAAAACACCCTATACTCTGTTTCACCTTGTGTTGTACCGCAGGAAAGGCTACAAGCGCAAGCTCCTTGCTCTAGGGCACATCTCGGCGGCAAAAGCTCTCGTGCACCAAAGGCAGCTGCCAACGCTATGAGCTCGCGCTTCTAGCCTTCGCTGCGGTACAACATAAGGTGAAACGGAGTATAGAAGGAACATTGTGAACAATGAATCGCGTTATTTCTATATCTACAGTGGCTTTAGCAAATACGTTATTTTACCACGTTGCAGGTTAAGAAAAGTAGGACAAACTCCTCCCCAAAGTCCTCCACTCTTTCCACCACCGTTTGGTCTGGTGAAGTGGAAGAGTTCAGTGCTTTGGAAAGGAGGTTGTCCTGCTTTTCTTAACCTGCAACAGGGTATGCGGGTAGAAACGGAGGAAGAGGAGGAAAAGCCGTCCCCTACGCGCATTCTTCTGCTTTCCCTCAGTTTCCACCTGTATGGCGATTAATTACACCGCAAATATCAAATCGCCTTGGCGCCGACAGCTTTTGCGTATAGTTGGAACGGCTGGAAGTGTGCAGCCCTTGGGGTTTTCCCATTTGAATTTGTAGGGGTGACTGGCACCATTTATCGTCGTGGAAACGTGTTGAGAATCCGGTATTTCGGTACGCTGACTGCAGCCC